ATCAGCCGGCGTCTCTCTTCGGCAATAGTTAGGGGGGGCCCGGTATTTTATCGACCCTTTCCTGGTGTTCTTTCATTTGTTCTCGGAGTACCTTGTTCTCGTTCTCCATTTCCTCTATTCTTTTCAAGATGGTTGCAAGGGCGTTATCACCTGCATTATCATTGACGTTTTGAGTAATTCCTATCGTTGGAGGTGGAGGGAGTTGGTTACACTGTTCGTCCGCCTGTTGTACAGTGTGAATCCTTGCATTTTCTACAGCTGCATCTCGGGCGGACTTGTTGAGGACGCCAGTTAGCGCATCGGTTAGCCATGTTTCGAGGAGCTTTTTTACAACCGTGGGCATCTCTTCCCCCACAGATGTGAAGGCTCCCTTACCGAGGAATTTTGTGATGCTGCTATGAGGGGGCAGTGAACCATCTCGCCTAGGGGAGGCATTGGGCGTTACGCCTTCGTCTGTTGTTTCACAACTTTCGTTGATGATGTTCATGAGGTTAGTTGGGAGGTCGTTGATTATCCTCACCCTTTCTTCCATGTTACCTGCCATGTTGGGATTTGTGCACACAAGGAAAAGAGATCTTGTCTTGTTTTTTGTATTTTTTTTGCGTTCGGGATTCGCGTCAGTGATAGATCTAGAAGAAACTAAAAATTTAACTAGGAAATCCCCACAAAAGGCGCCAAATTGTTTGATTGAGAAGAGTGATCATTGGTTCAAATAATTAAATCTATGTATTAAAGGGTTAAACCTAATTAACAATAATATTTCTAGATGCGAGTTATAAAAGCGTGATTAATGTTGAACAGATATGGTAGAAGAAGAATAATAGTGTGTGACAATCATCTCAAATAGCGTGAATAATAAATGAACAATAAATAACTATGAACAATAACAAATGGGATTTGGGTAAATAAAGAAAAGATTCACCCAATAAAGGAGAAGATGGATATTATTCATTCTGACAATGATGAATGACAGACCAATCCTTGAATTTTCAAATTATTCTCGGATCTGGTGAGAAGTATGAAATAATGTGGACAAAAATCTTGATAAAAAGGTATTGTTTGTCTCTTGGTAAGAGATAAAGAATCTTTTTATCAAAGTGTGTTCTTCCAATTGAATATTACATGCCCTACATCAGTATCTCTTTTCCTATATATATGAGACATACTCTTAACATACCGTAATAGTACAAGTGCAGAGAACATTCACTAGAATATTCTCTTTAATATCCCATTTTGAAAATTAACCATTACATCTTTGCTAATGGTGCTCGATCTCGACCATTATTGATATCTCGATCACGAACCTCGCTGCTTTCTGGTCGACCTCGACTAACCCTTTTCCTTAATGCTATATCGTCCCAAAATATTTTAGGGCGGATTTTGACCTATTCCCTGACCAATAGCAATTTTGCACTTGCTTGGAGCATTATGAGGACGGCGAAACCGGCACCACGTGACACAATGTTATATACTCTTTTTAATTGCCAAGCCGCAAGAGATATAGCACAAATAAGATTATTCTCTCGTTGCCTAAGGCAAAATATAATGGAAAATACTTAAAGCGAAAATTTTCACCCAGTAACTGTAAGTACACAGGACTTAGATCGCCAGAAGTCTAAGCCAGACCATAAGAAGGTATCCGGGTCCAGTTATCGCATTCGCGTAATGGAGGTTAATATCTAATTCTGCTGAGCCAACTGGTTAAACTTTTTATCATGTTAACTGTAGAATTATGGATTAAGATGCCACTGAATATCTGAGAAGTTAGAGCGATTGAACAAGGGATGTATTACACTTAGCGGTCATGATTCTCAATCTGACCTGCCCAAGTCATATGCTTCTTCAAATGTTGGTGATCCACCTTAGTGGGATGGCCCATAGGCCCACTCATTATTTTATTTTTTCTGTATATTCAGTTTCTTATTGCATAAAATGTATATAATCCTTCGTATAGTTCTAGAACTTCTTTTCACTTTTGGAGTAGACTCTTCTCTCTCTCTTTCATTTTCATCGGAACGTAGGTTTCCTGTTCATCCCTCTCCAATATTTTATCTTATATCTTCAGGTAAGTTTTTTCAGATGTAGAATTGGCATAAACTGATTTTTAAAGTTTTCTACTATTAGATTCAGAGATCGAAGGAAAATGAGAAACATCCAATTAGGGTTCTAAGAGAAGAGAGAAAAAGAAATATCTGACTTTTTCTATATTTTCCAAAAGCTGTACAAAATGATTCTATTTTTCTATGTATTGTTCTCAGAAGTTGGGCCTCTATATATATAGGATTCGGAAGCCCAAATACAATAAATACAAGATTTGAATTGTAGGTCCAAATACNCACTTGAGGTATGAAGTAAGCTGATCAGCCCATCTGCGAGCTTGCTCCGGACAAAGTGACAGTCGAACTCAATATGCTTGGTCTGTTCATAGAATACTAGATTTTTTGCTATGTCCAACGCAATCTGGTTATCACAGAAAACAAGAATGGAAGAATAAATAGGAAGACAAAAATCAACCAACAGTCTGGACAGCCATGTAACTTCAGCAACAGCTTTGCTCAATGAACGATATTCAGCCTCAGCTGAAGAAAGAGATACCACAGGTTGTTTCTTAGATTTTCAGCACACCAAACTACCACCCAACAAAATGCAAAAACCTATAACTGATCTTCTACTATCAGGGCAAGAGCCCTAATCACTGTCATAAAACACCTAAAGAGAAATGTCTGAGGAATTGTTAAAGAAGATACCATAATGTGAAGTACCATTAATATATCTCAATAGATGAAGGGCAGCCTTCATATGAGGAGCACAGGGATGCTGCATAAACTAGCTTAAATGTTGTACAGCAAAAGACAAATCAGGCCTAGTATGAGTTAAAAAATACAGCTTCCCAACAAGGCTTCTATAAACCTCAGGATTAGGCAAAGGATCCCCTACTTTAGCTTTAAGTTTCTCATGCAACTCAAGAGGAGAAACAACAGGAGAGCAGACATCACAATGAAACTCCTTTAAAAGATCATGAATAAACTTTCTTTGATGCAATAGAACCCCAGAAGAAGAATATAGCACCTCAATACCAAGAAAGTAATTAAGAAGACCCAAATCTTTGATTTTAAATTGATCATGAAGAAAAGCTTTTAAAGGAGAAACTTTCCCAAAATCAGTCCCGGTAAGTACAATATCATCTACATACACAGCCAATATAACAAGAGAGTCCCCATAACCTTTGGTAAACAAAGAATAATCATTGAGAGTATGAGTATACCCTCTGGATTGTAAAGCTTGTGACAACTTAGCGTACCACTGCCTAGAGGCCTGTCTCAGCCCATATAGAGATTTTTTCAGCATGTAAAGAAGTGTGGCAGAGGAGGATGTAGAAGGAACAGACAATCCAGGGGATAGTCTCATGTAAACTTCCTCATCCAAATTACTATGTAAGAAAGCATTATTAATATCAAGTTGAAAGAGGGGCCAATTTGTTTTAACTGCAACAGTAATAAGAGTTTTAATAGTGGACATATTTACAACAGGGGAAAAGGTCTCATGAAAATCAATTCCTTCAACTTGGGTATCACCCCTAACCACTAACCTTGCTTTATATCTTTCGATTGAACCATCAACTTTGTATTTAACCTTATAAACCCATTTGCATCCAATTGGTTTCTTGCCACAAGGCAATCAACTATATCCCAGGATTTATTAGTCTCCAAAGCTTCAAATTTCTGTCTCATAGCAGCCTGCCATTCAGGGACAGTTGCTGCCTGAGAATAAGTAGAAGATTCAGAAACATGTTGCTTAACTAGACTAGAGGAGGATTCAGGAGTGGAGCCAATTGACTGACAGACATAGCTCTTAAGATATTCAGGTTGCTTGTGAATTCTAGAAGACCTCCTGAGAGCGGGAGGAGAAGAAGAATTGGAAGGGAAAAGAGGAACAAGGGGAGGAGAAATGGATGCAGAAGGTTGTGAGAGTGGAGGAGGAGAATTAGATGAGGGGGCAGGAGGAAAAGAGGCAGGAGTAGTAGGAATAGGAGTGGAAGAAGTAGAAGTAGGAGAAACATAAGGAAAAGAAGTAGCAGTAGAAAGGGAATCATCAAAACATATAGAAAAAAGAAAGGGACATAAATTGGAGGAATTTGTGGATGATTGAAGAAATGGAAAAATATGTTCATGAAAGAAAACATCTCTGGACACAAAACAGGAGTGAGTCTCCAGATTATATAACTTGTATCCTTTCTTAGCAAAGGGATAACCCACAAACACACAAGGCACAACTATTGGTTGAAATTTGTCTCTAAGATGCTTGGGAATAGTGGAATAGCAAAGACAACCAAAAGCTCTAAGATGAGTATAAACAGGCAATTTTTCATAGAATAACTTATAAGGGCTTTTGTGATTTAGTAAAGGGGATGGAAATCTGTTTAGCAAATAAGTGGCAGTGAGAATACAGTCTCCCCAGAATTTAAGGGGAAGGTGAGACTGAAATAGTAGTGACCTGGTAGTCTCAAGTAGATGTCTGTGTTTTTTTTCCACCACCCCATTCTGCTGAAGGGTATGAGGGCAAGAAGTCTGATGTACAATACCTTTTTTAGAAAATAATTGACATCCACACAAGCTGGACCCTAACTCTAGAGCATTATCACTCCTAACAGTTTGGACTTTAGTTTGGAATTGAGTTTCTACCATGGCAATAAAAGCCTTTAGAATGTCAAAAGCATTGCTCTTTGCTCCTAAAAGATGAGTCCAAGTAGCTCTAGTATGATCATCAACAATGGTTAAAACATATTTGGAACCAGAATATGTAGTGGTATGATAAGGTCCCCAGGTATCAATATGAAGTAATTAGAAAGGTTTGGTTGACTATATAGAACTATCAGGGAAAGGTAACCTGGTTTGTTTAGCCAAGGGACAAATGGGACAAATGAAAGACTGTTTAGATGGCAATTTGGTTCCAAGATCAAATACATGCTTCATTTTAGAAAAAGATAGATGCCCTAGTCTCTAGTGCCAAATAACATCATCTTTATTCACTTTATTCATATGTACATCATCAGACACCTCAGCAGAACTAAGAGATAAACTTGTACTACTACCAGGAACACCAGAACAGTTATTAGAAAGAACAACAGTTGGATCATTACTAGGAGAAACAGAAGGTAAAGATGAATTAGAAAATAAAGAATTTGAAACCATTGGGAGTTGAAACAGCTTGTACAATCCACTGTCAGGTCTACCAAGTACCACTGGCTTATTCAGAGAAGGGCCCTGAAAAGTACAGCCAGTGTTGATAAACTGAATCATGTGACCAGGTTTAGCAACAAGTTTGTACACAGAAATGAGATTGAATTTAAAACTAGGAATGTAAAGCACATTATGAAGAATGAGATCAGGAAATAAAGCCAAAGAACCTACATTATGAACTTTAACTTTGTAACCATTTGGAAGAGACACTAGGTAAGGAACATATAGTGTTTCTATGTAGAAAAGAAGAGATTTATCAGATGTCATGTGATCCGAGGCTCCAGAATCTATAATCCAAATAACATTGTCTATTTTAGTAAGCAGGCAAGTTCTAACTGAACTATTCTTAGGCAGAAGTATACCAGCAAAATTAGCAGATGCCATGAGTGTAGGAGGAGAAGATGTAGTGGAAATATGAGACTGTTGCAGAAACATCATGAGTTGAGAGTACTGATCTTTAGTTAAACCAGGGATTGCAGAGGCTTGGGAAGAATCAGGTTGTCCAACATTCTGTCCAACAGTGCTACTATGAATCCCAACATCACCAGAGTGATCAACCACAACATGTGCAGCTGCTTTTCTAGGACCAGGCCCTTTAGTGAACTTGAAATTGGGAGGGAAGCCATGCAATTTGTAGCACTTGTCAATAGCATGCCCTTGTTTCTTGCAATACTTGCATATTAAGGAGGACTTTTGAGACTCTGAATTAAACCTTGAATGAGGATTTTGTGGTCTGGGAGAGTGAAAATTTACCTTGGATGGGAAACTCTATTTGAAAACCCCAGCATTAAAGGAGGCAGAATTGTTGCTGAAATGAGATGCAGAGGAAACTTGTCTCTGTTTCTCATCAGCCAAAAGAATGTTGTACACAGTGTTCATTGAGGGCAAGGGCTTCATCATGATTATATTGCTCCTTACTTGAAGATAAGTATCATTAAGACCTATCAAGAACTGATAAACTCTTTGTTCTTCCTCAACTTTATTGTTACCCCCACATGTACAAACAGACAAATGGTTGACAGAAATGGAAGATATATCATCCCAAAGTTGTTTTATGGTATTGAAGTAAGATGCTATGTCTAGTGAACCTTGAGATATGTGTGCCAGCTCCTTCTTAAGTTCAAATAACCTAGCTCCATCAGCCTTTCCATATCTCTCCTCAAGTTCACTCCAAATGTCCTTGGCTAACTCAGAATACTCAACACTACGAGATATTTCTTTAGTAAGGGAGTTTGCCAACCATGAGATGACTAAATCATTGCATCTCTGCCATTACCTTGCCAAAGGGGACTCAGCAGGTGGATTGACAGATGAACCATTGATGAAATCAAATTTATTACGAACGGACAAAGCTACTAAGATAGTCCTACGCCAGCTAGAATAACCAGAACCATCAAAAGGAACAGAAACTAGAGAAGCACCCAAAACATCTGAGGGATGAACATAAAGTGGGTGACATGGATGAGTGTAATCATCCGGATGAAAAACAGTACGAGATGAAGTTCCTACACTCTCGACTGGAGTCTCAGAATTATTTGTCATATTGACAATCAACCAAAGCAACAAAAAGAAAACTGGACAAGACTACTAACAATAGTGGGTTCAGAAATTGAAGTTTCTAAAACAAAAAATTGTACATGCATAACAGAGAACAACATTAACAAGCTAACAAGTAGCTAGTGAGAAGAGACGATGTTACCAAAAGCATTGTTCGCTACCGGAAAGGGACGGCCTTGACAAAAATGAAGAGACAGACGGAGATTGTCGAGAAGATGAGTTGAAATAGGATTGACGCAGTCCAAATCCAAAAATCACAGCGGCAATTTGAAAGAAAAGAACTCCTTTTTCATCAACGATTTCTACCTTGCAAAACCTAGATTTCGATCTCCGACGAATACCAGAATCTGAATGAAATTCGGCAAAAAGAACTTCACTAATATCACCGCACATCGACGGAGGAACAGATCTTAAATGCCATAGCTCTGATACCATGTTATATTCAGAGATCGAAGAAAAATGAGAAACACCCAATTAGGGTTCTAAGAGAAGAGAGAAAAAGAAATATCTGACTTTTTCTATATTTTCCAAAAGCTATACAAAATGATTCTATTTTTCTATGTATTGTTCTCGGAAGTTGGGCCTCTATATATGTAGGACCTGGAAGCCCAAATACAATAAATACAAGATTTGAACTGAAGGCTCAAATACTAAATACAGTTGGACCGTCACACATACTAACTAATATGAGTTCCTAAGCTATCTTCTAAGCTATGAATCCCAACATCTACAAAGTACCCTTATTCTAGCTTCTCTGGATATTATAAAATACAAGTTAGTTGGCTCAGTAGAATTAAAAATTGGCCATTCATGTGATCGGTAGCCCTGAATTAGACTCGTGATGCTTGTGTAATCTATAACATTTTGTGTATATAGGGTAATCATCGCATTGCATACTGTAGTTCTATATATCCTAGCAATTCTAAGCTCCATATCTCACGAGCACTGAAGAAGCAGAGGGTTAATTTAATACTCCATTATCACTCAATTTTGCATTAGTCACAATTTATTTTTTTTAACGAAAAAATCACTCCGCTTTGCAGAAGTATCACAAAATTCACTTAACTAATTGATGCAAATGCAGTCAAAAGTCACCCAACTTTGCCTAAGTATCACCAAAAGTCATTGGGAGGAAGCAAAAGAAACATTTTATATGATACTTAGGCATAGTTGAATGACTTTTTGGTTACAAAATTATTTCTTAACTTTCTGTGATACTTGGGCAAAGTTTGATGATTTTTTTGTTAAGAAAAATACTTTAGCGACTTTCTATGATACTTAGGCATTAGGCAATATTGAGTGATTTTTTTTTTTTTTTTTT